TTTTTCTTTAATGGTTTCTCCACCCAGATGTTTACCCTAGATGGTATAGTCTCTCCCCCAACACATACAGGACACTTAAAATTTTTTTATATATCCTTTAAATAATTTTTTTTTCCAACTTTCTGTTTATCTCTCGAAGAATGGAGGCCCTTTGACTTGTAGAGTTTCCCACAGTCAGGACTGTGGGATTGCATGATCATGTAGTGTTCAACATATTTCTGTTTCCTACAAACTGGCAGCTGGATCTCAAGTCTGTAACAGATTTAGGTTGGATCTCTTCAGCAGCAGTTTAGGTGGTGGTGTGGTCTTCCCTCAGGAGGTACAAAATGTCTAGTTCTCTCTCTTTTTTATGATCTTAGGAGCTGCTGAGGCACAATGACTGTATCTATTAATTCATAGGGAGTTACAAAATTGGGATATTTTATCATTTTCCTTTTACTTAATACTGGAATACTTTTATCTAGATTCACTTCCCCTTATCTATTTGGTTACCCAAATAACCAAACTTAACTTTTTAAAGTTCCTTTAGAGAAGAGATCTTGCAATCATCATCTACATAATTCTTTTGGGGTCCTATACCTTTGGATTGTACTACGTGTTTGTTGAATTTGCAGATGAGACATTATAAACAAGACTAAAAAGCTCACTGAAGTTGTATGTAAAACAGATGTATACAAATAAAGATCCAGTAGCAAATTCCAGCCACTAGAAACTTAAAATTCATGCTCCTCTGGTTGATTATGTTTTCAAGATCCAGTCTTTGTTTCCTGCCGGTCATTAACCTTTGTGACTTTCATGAAGAGAAAGTTGTTAACAAAAGTGAACTGATAGAAGTAAAGGAAAAAAGATTCTTGTGAATCTATTTTGGGCTAACATGCAGAGTTCCAGCCTCCCTCTAGAAAGTCAGAAGTTAAATTGTTATTTACATCGATATTTGATCACAATTTTGGACTTCCAAATGAAAGTGATTATTCTTTCAAAAAGTCTCATTTTACATGTCTGCAGTGACCTAGAAATCATACAACCTAAATCACTTAGTTTTTAAAAATGTAAATATAATTACTTTGGGAGTTCAAAAATCTTGGGATTTTTGCATTGTTTTTACATTTACTACATATAATGTAGAAAGGATAATTATTTTCGTATACTAATGTTAACAGCTATTTAAAAATATTTTCATTCTAAAAAAATAATAAAATAAAAATAATAAAAATATTTTCATTCTAAGTTAACCTTAAAATTGTTTGGTGTTGACAGCTGAAGGCATTTAAGGTGCCTCCTGAAAGCACTCCGGAGTTCACCTGGAAGCAATTAGGGAGATTTGCCATATGCTCAGTGGATGCTGAGCAAGAATTTGGGGGTCAGATGATCCAGGTTTCTCAGCCCACCAGTACCACTATGTATTTAATAACCTTAGATACTTGTTTGTCTTGTTCTGCTCATTTGTAAATCTGAGTAATAAAATCTATCTCCCAGAATTGTTAATTAATATTGGAAAAGGTGCCTTGTAATATTTGCTGGTAGTAAGTATCCTATTCAAGGAGACTTAACACAGTTAATCAGATGAACTGAATTGCCTTTTGAATTAGCCATTATGGCAGTGGAAAATTCCAGGTCTGCCAACTTGATATTTGAAAGGGTTTCAGCTTCAGATATAAATGCATCTGAGAGATTCCAGTTTGGAGATGCATTAACTTACAGGTGAATGATAAAAATCTGCACACACTGGTGCTTCCTGTGAATATACATTTCTCATACTTCATTCATCTCCTCGGTGTCTACCCTGAAAAAGTGCTAGATCTGATACGCTGTTCACTACATGAAAGTATAGACAAAAATAGAACAATTTAGGCTTAACTATTAATTAAAAGGCACAGTCATTAGTCTGACTGTCTGATCTTTGTGCCAGATTTTTGTGTATTACAAATCTGCAGAAAGGAAACTTTCCAGAAAGGAAGAATTTGCTTCAGGAACTATCCTGCAGGAATATCAAAAGGTTTTCCTCCTTCCCTTCTTTTTTTTTTTTTTTTTTGCCTCGGGCATAACATTGTACTTTATACAAATGGAAATAAAGGTATAATTTGGACAATCCAACAACCATTTGCAAACTATTAGAATGAGAATCAAAACAATTTCATCATGTTCCTTCCACTTCAACTCTAATCCTGATCTTTGGCCTCAAATTAATTTCTAGAGACTAAAAAAAAAAAAAAATTTCTAGAGACTTTTTTTAAGATTTATTTATTTATTTATTTATTTATTTATTTATTTATTTATTTATTTATTTATTTATTAATGAGAGATACAGAGAGAGGCAGAGACACAGGCAGAGGGAGAAGCAGGCTCCACACAGGGAGCCCGACATGGGACTCAATCCCAGGACCCCAGGATCACGCCCTGGGCTAAAGGCAGCGCTAAACCCCTGAGCCACTGGGGCTGCCCCCTAGAGACTTTTCTAACAAAGAAACTGGACTCAGAATTTTAAGAAATCATGCTATTAACTTACACGGTTTTCAACAATTTCATTATTTTTTTTTCCCCAGGCAGGTGAAACAACTTTATTTCACAGTTGTCTTTAAAACCACAAAGACAAAAAAAAAAAAAAAAACCCACAAAGACACTATGTTCTTCATATAAAAACATTAGTACAGATAACTATACTTTCTAGAAAATGATTATATAGACCCTCTCAAAGAAAAATGCACACCATTATATGGTTCAGACAAGTTACTTGGGAAAAACACATCTGGACCGATACCTAAAACATACCAGAAGACCACGCTGCATCTTTTGGTTCAAAGTATAGATTACTGTCATCAGTAAGGGCTCCTGCATTCTTACATATTTGATAATACACATATAGACTGGTTTGTGACTTAATGCTCCATTGGTTCATCAGCCTTTTCTGCAGGTTCGTCAGCAGGTTGAGCAGGCTGTGCCTTTCTCTGTGGTCTTTCTTCAAGACCTTCCAGGAACGGAGATACATCATCATCATCATAAATCGTAAACTCCAAGTCTTTACCAACAATTCCAATGGAAACATTCTTTGCAGTTAGGTCCTGTTCTGCAGGAAGTGTCTCTCCTAAGGCACGCAGACCATGTTTAACCAGTTCATTCAAATTGCACTCCATAAACCCAGACATATGTCTCTCCAAGTAAGTACGAGCTGATTGAGAACGGGCTCCAATGGACATGGCTCTACAGTCAAAATAGTTGGCAGATGGACACGTTTGGAAAATGTGAGGGCCCATATCATCATAACCAGCAATAAGCAGTCCAACACCATATGGTCTACAGGCCATACCGTTGTGTTGGTATCTGGGTCTTGCTTCCAATTAGAGATACAAGAGGAGACCAGCAAGAGGTCTGTCAAATACAACTCTGGAATCCAAACACTCCTGGCGCATAAAATTACATAACAGTCTAGCATCAGCAGTAAGTCCCGCAATTGAGATACCAATATGGTTATCAACATGAAGAATTTTCTTCTGATGAGCTGCAAGCTCTGACTGTGCTCTCTTCCATGCAACCAACACTGCATAGGTTTTTGATTTCAGACCAACTGTGGCTGAATCTTGTTTGACAGCTTCCATTGCATATTCAATTTGATGAATCCTGCCCTGAGGGCTCCAAACAGTGACGTCATTGTCATACTGGTTGCGCACATGGTTCCGGCGCGGGTCCCGCTGCGGCCTCCGGCAGAGGTGACGGCTTCAGGAGCGCGCTCATTATTTTTTAAATAGTTTATTTTTATTTATGAGAGAATGGTGGGGAGGGAAGGGCAGAGAGAGTAGCCCTTAGCCGGCTCTATCCCACCACCCTGAGGTCCCAACCTGAGCCCACACCGTGTCCCACGCTTAACCTTCGGCGCCACCCAGGTGCCCTAGTTTTCAAAATTGTTATTTTAATTTAATTTTTATTTTAAAACAAAACTGCATAATCAGTACTTTATAACTTTTAAAAGTACAAAAGCCACTAGAAATCAGGACAATGAGGGCTGATACCGTTTCCTTCATATTTTCAGCGCTCCTGTTATAGGACAAGGACCGTGTGTTCATGTTTTTCGAGTGTTGAAATAGTTTACTCGTAACACAACCAGTTTTCCAATAATTCGCTTCCGGTTTATTTTAGACTTGTAATTCAACTTTGTTTGCTATACATAGCATGTGATTTCATGAGCTCAAAATCTGAGAAAAATATAGGTTGCTGGTTTTTTTTTTTTTTTTCCTCCTTTGGTCAGAATGCATACCCAGGATAGGGGCTTCTAAGCAACACGTGTTTTAGGAGCTCCGTTATTCTACCTACCTACCTACTCCCTTCCCCAAACGCACGGAGAGATCGAAGCTCCCAATCTTCTTTAAGCTTAGCTGTCCCGGGGGCTGCACGAGATTATTTTACAACTCAGGTAACTACTAACTTTCCGTTTTCTTTTTTTTTTAAAGATTTTATTTATTCATGAGAGGCACGCAGAGACACAGGCAGAGGGAGAAGCAGGCTCCACGCAGGGAGCCTGACGTGGGACTCGATCCCGGGACCCCAGGATCACGCCCCGGGCCAAAGGCGGCGCTAAACCGCTGCGCCACCCGGGCTGCCCTAACTTTCCGTTTTCTACCTTTAACAATTGAAAGCGGGCGTCCACAGCGCAGACCCCACTCCGACCCAGCCGAGCAGGGGCCACTGCGTCCTCCGGGGTCGGTGGGCGGGGCGGCAAGGAGAGCGGGCACCTATCAGCGGCCGCCCCAGGCGGCGGGCCCGGACGGCCTTCCCGGCGTGCCCCGCGCGCCGAGGGGACTCTTAACGTGAAGCGCCGGGTGACTCAGCCGCGTGGCCGCGCCGGCCGGGGTGGGGGGCGCGCCGCTGCGGCACGGCGGCTCCTGGCGGCGGCTCCTCGCGGCGACGTGTGCGCGCGCCTCCTGGGCGGGTTCGGGCCCGAGCGCGAGAGCGCGGCGGGGAGCGTCAGGTAAGTGGTGGCCCGGAGCCCGGAAGGGCGAGTGTGGCCGTGGGCAGCGCCCGGACTTTGCCTTTGTGTCAGGGCGGGGGCGTCTCCTCCGGCCGCCGCTCGTGCGGACGCCGCCGGCTCGGGCCCCGGTGGAAAGGCCGCGGGAGTAGTCATCGCGCGGAGGCTTGTCCGCGGCTGCGTGTGGGGCGCGGGTGTGCGTGCGGAGGCCGAAGTCTAGGAACCCGGGAGAGGGCTGTCCCCTCGCTTGGAGACGGTAAACGCCGCGGGGCTGGGGGGCGAGGTGTAACTCGTCGGGCTTCTGCAGGCCTGGGGTGTTTTCGTCCCGCCCGCGCGGCAGCGACGGCGACCCCCGGGCGGCTGTTGATTACGCCTTTGCAGGCGCGTTTTCTGCCGGCAGTTAATGGAACTCCTTAGAAGCCGGGTAGTTGCTCGGACCTCTTGCCCGGCTCTGGAGCGGAGAGCGCTCTCGCTCGCCTCCCCACCTCGGCTTCAGAGCCCTTCGTGCCCCGCACAGATACTGCCTTTCGTTAGTGGCTCCGAGGGCACCAGAGCTGGGCAGAGCCTTAACCCGCGAGCTCCTTTTTTTTCTTTTTTTTTTTTTCAAGTGAAACCCTATTTTTTTTTTTTTATAGTAGACAGCGACTTCGGGTTTACAAGCCTAGTTCTGCACTATCAAAAAAAAAAAAAAAAAAAAAACACCCCAGACCTCTTCTATTTTGGAGTTTGTGATTCTTTCTAAAAATTCCTGGGTTGAACCGGCATATTTTGTAAACAAGAAACCAGTGAACAAACGAAACCCGGTAAACAAGGTCCTGGAGGAGCTGTTTAACCTGTTCCCGAAAAAGCATTTTCCAAGCCCTTTCATTGGGCCCCTGTGAGCTGTTAGACAACTTAGCTGCAGCTGTTACCTGAGAAACAGGTATTGAGGGGTTTCAGTAGTGGTCCCCAAAACAGAGTGGTGTAGTCCAATGTAATCCAGAGGCAAAAGAACCTCACTTCAATGCCTATCGCTGCCCCACCCCCATCCCCACCTGTCATTCTGGGGCAGTAGTTCTCAATCGTAAGTTTGCCCCTTAAAAAATGCCAGTTTGATTCTAGAGATCTGTGATGGGACCCTGAAACTGCATTTTAAGCAGGCACCCCCCTTCCTTGGTGTGTTATACCACACTTTGAGAAACACCACCATAGGGCTGGCCTGAGAATCTCCAGAAGTGCCCAACTCCCGCATCCCTTGGTTGATTTACTGTCCCCTTCCCTCCAGCCAGCCATGAGCCAAGAAGCTGGCCTTGAGCTAGTGCTTTCTTGGACTCTGACACCAGGGTAGGAAATGACTTTTATACATATTCTGATCTTGCCTCGGTGGGTTAGAGATGGCCTGTGCCTGTTAGTCTGTACTGTACTTCCAGTATCATCAGAATTTAAGCAGTGCCATTAGGTCACATCTTCCCATCCTAACTCAGTCTCAGTCTTCCCGTTAGAACCAGGGCAGCCAGTGCTATGTAATTCCCATGGACTCGAGTCCTCAGATTTCATGGTACCTAGCGGTCCTGGTAGCATTTATGAGAGCTTTCAGTTTCGCTGAATACAGTCACCGAATATCCTAGTAATGCCCTATTTTGTTGCAAAGCCTGTAGGGGGTCACTTTAGCAACAACATTGCAAAGATGGTACACAGTCACATTGCTCCCTTGACATGGAAACCAGAGCTGAATAACGTCTGCTGCTAAGAGCTTTTTCTATTTCCTAGTTCCTCTTCAAATAGATATGTAAGGGTGAGGTTAGATAGGCTGCTGGACTTTTCTTGTTTTTGACATCTTTTTTTCTATATTAATCTTTTCCCGTTGGTTCACAAATGTCATATCTTTTCCTTCTGTGGCCCCAGACTTCCTATTTATTGTCTTGCCTCTCCTCCAGAATCTGAACATGCCTGCCTCTCCTTGGCTAACTGGAGTAAAAAGTTGAGGGAAGTCTTTGGAATGTTGAATGACTTCTAGTAGGAAGACTCAGAATCATGGAAATATGAGGCTTAGAGATATAAGGAAACCTATTACAAATGTGTCTGGTGCAGTCCTCTCGTCTTTCAGATGAAGAATCTAGGAGATGAGATGGCAGAGGTGAGGATGCCTGGCTCCTAACCCAGTGTTCTTCCTGTTAAATCTTCTTAAGAAAAATGCTTCAGTGGGATCCCTGGGTGGCTCAGCGGTTGAGCACCTGCCTTCGCCTCAGGGCGTGATCCTGGAGTCCCGGATGGAGTCCCACATCAGGCTCCCTGCATGGAGCCTGCTTCTCCCTCTGCCTGTGTCTTTGCCTCTGTGTGTGTGTGTGTGTGTGTGTGTGTGTGTCTTTCATGAATAAATAAAAATCTTTAAGAAAAGGTTGAAAGAAATTCAGTTATAAGAAGATGACAGTGGAGAGACTTCTAATTTTTTTTTTTTTTATGATAGTCACAGAGGGAGAGAGAGAGAGGCGCAGAGACATAGGCAGAGGGAGAAGCAGGCTCCATGCACCAGGAGCCCCATGTGGGATTCGATCCCGGGTCTCCAGGATCGCGCCCTGGGCCAAAGGCAGGCGCCAAACCGCTGCACCACCCAGGGATCCCTGGAGAGACTTCTACATGACTACAAAAGCAGTATTTTCTAGAAAAGTAGAGATTGAAGGAAAATGTAGGAGATTGAAGGACTCTGAAGCATGAAATAGGTAGTAAAAGTTTAAATAAGCAGATACCTTGTAATCCCAAGAGACATTGTGAACTTAAAATTTTTTTAAAATTCAGTAAAAGTTAAGATGAGTACCTTGGTGAATTTTTATTAAATATTAGGTGTTTGACCAATGTCCAGAATGTTGTTGTTTGTTTTGTTTTTAAAGATTTTATTTATTCATGAGTGACACAGGCAGAGGGAGAAGCAGGCTCCATACAGGGAGCCCGATGTGGGACTCTATCCCGGGACTCGGGGATCATCCCCTGGGCTGAAGGCAGACGCTAAACCGCTGAGCCACCCAGGCGACCCTGTACGTATTGTTTTGAGGTTGTTACATAACTATATTGTTGTCCATATCAAAGTTATTAGGTATTCTGTGGAAGACAGAACATAAAACTGATCTAACTACTAATCTGATTTAATATATTTTCTTAGGAGAAATAAGATTAATGGGATACAAATGCATTTCTGAGATGTAGGCAGGAAAGAAGTATGGATGGAAAAAGAAGCTTTTGTTTTGTTCTTGGAGAGTGAGTGCACACGCACATACACATGCATGGGGGCAAAGGGAGGAGAGAGAGAATCCTAATCATGCTCTATGCCCAGTGTGAAGCTGGACATGGGGCTCTATCTCATGACCCTGAGATCACAACGTGAACCAAAATCAAGAGTTTGATACTTCAGTGACTGAGCCCCAAGAGAACCTTTTGATATTTTTGCTTTTAGTCCCCAAATTAGACATTGTTGGATTCTCCTTGTATCTTCATGAAAGTAGAATTAGAGGGGTAAGGGCTAATGTACTAAATGCTTCTACATCCATTGTTTTATTTATTTCCATTATATAGCTGAGGAAACTAAGATACAAAGAGCTTAAGTTTGTCCAAAGTCATGCACCTAGTAAGTGGCAGAGCCACTGTTCAAACTTAAATCTGCATGCCCCCAAAGCTATTAAGATTTATGCTCAATAGTGCCCTCATTATACTTCATTGGGTGGTAGTTCAGAATGTGGGCATTGAGGCCAGCCTTTCCTGGGTTCAAATCCTGGCTCCTTTATTTACTAACTGGATAAAGTACTCCTCCGTTTCTATGTCTCTGAAACGGAGATTGTCATAGTTACGTACCCCAGAGGGCTGTTAGGGTCAAGTTAATTCACATAAAGTACTTAGAACTGTGCCTGACACAGTAAATTCTCAGGAAATGTTGGCTTTTTTTTTTTTTTTTTTAAATCAAGATACTCTTTTCTTTAGATTCAGATGGTCCTTCCTACTGTTAAATTACTAAGGCATTATGATAAATATAGACAAACTATCTCTGTTCTTACTAAAACAGAGGGAGCCTTATTAAAATTTTGGAAAATACTGGGGTATAGTGCAAAGATCTGTAATTGGGACCAGAGGGTTTGGTTTCTGTTTGTTTCATAGAGAAGGTTGTACGAATCAGATGAAGTAACAAATACAAATGGAATTTAAGTAGTATTTTACATTTGTATAGCATATACAGTTATTAAAATTAGGAAAGTTGCAGTAAATTATTGATAAGATTTTTAAAAGAAAGTTTGACTTCCTTAAAACAGCTAGTGATTTACAGTTCTATAGGAAGATCACAGTCCATACCATAAAACCACATAAGAGTCCTTCCATGTGTTTGTCCTACATCTCTTTTTTGGTGGTAGAGCCTGAAATTTAATTTTTTGCAGTTGTATCTGTTATATTAGTTTGCTAGGGCTGCCATAAAAAAAAAAGTATCACTGTTAACTAACAGAAATTTATTTTCCTACAATTCTGAAGGCTGGAGGTCTGAGATCAAGATGTTGGCAGGATTGGTTTCTTCTGAGGCCTCTTTGCTTTGTCTATGTCCTCACTTCCTTTTCTTAAAAATCCTATTAGATTAGGGCCTGCTCTAATGACTTCATTTAACCTTAATTACCTCTTTTAAAGTCCTTATTTCCAAACAGTCCCACTGAGAATTTAGGAGTTGGGACTTCAACATACAAATGTTGAAGGGAACACAGTTTAGCTTATAACAGTCTGTTTAGGGAATTTTAAAAAAAATTTTTTATTTAGAAAATTTTATTTTTTTTTAGGAAAATTTGTTTTTTATTTTTATTTAGGAAATTCTGTGCCAGCTAATCTGAATGTTCCATTGCCCTTATTGTTGAGTGCCCTAGGTCTCAAGCAACATCCTTTATCCCCATGCCTGCCCTATCTTACCTTCCATCTTTTACTTAGAACCATGCTTGCTGTCGAGTACCCTAAGAAACACATCATGCCTCTGCATTAAGTCACTGCGTTTGGATTTTTTTTTTTAAAGATTTATTTATGAGAGAACAGAGAGAGAAGGGGGGGCAGCAGAAGGAGAAGCTGGCTCCATGCAGGGAGCCCGATGTGGAACTCCCCTGGGCCAAAGGCAGGCAGTTTAACTGCCCAGGTGTCCCGTGTTTGGATATTTTAAAAAAATTTATTTATTCATGAGAGACACAGAGAGAGGCAGAGCCATAGGTAGAGGGAGAAGCAGGCTCCCTTTGGGGAGCCTGTTGCAGGGCTCCATCCCAGGAC